ACAAATATCCGCAATGGACACACCACTGGACCATGCTCAAAGATGAGGCGATGCCTTTAGTCGAGTGGGCCGGTACTCCAATGGGGCATTGAAGGCCCAAAGAGGAGTACGCTAGCGAGATGGAGTCTACTATCCATCTAGAGAGTCTTTGCTTTGTGAACGGAAGCCCTTTGGTGTGGTTACCGAAGCTGACAAAGAGTTGTTCCGACCACCTATAAGGGGCGGAACGCTCAATGTAGATTCTCAGAGCTCTGACAGGGCAGAGCAGAGATAACTCTCTGTCCTCTTCAGAGGGAGGAAGCGCGGAGAGCGTAATGACCTGTGCTTTGAACCATGCCTTGGTTTCAGGACAACTTTAGAGTCGTTAGGCCCGAATTCCAGGCAGGCAGGGCTAATGGAGAGCGCCTGCAGGTCCCCTATTCGCTTTACTGATGCCAGTGCCAGAAGCAGAGCAGTCTTCAGCGATAGCGACCGAATGTTGGCAGACTGTAGCGGCTCGAAAGCAGGGCCCTTCAGAGTCCTCAGCACAGTGGGCAGATCCCATGAAGGGACGTAGGGGGACGAGGCAGATTCAGCCTCCTGGCACCCCTTAAGAAGTGGAAAACCGCGCTGTTTCTGCCCACCGATTGGCCAGCAATAGGGGCATGAGAGGCCGCTATAGCCGCCACATAGAATTTGAGCGTGGATGGGGAGCATCCCTTATCCAGCAGCTCTTGCAGAATCGGAAGTATGAGGGTCTTTGTTTAGACACCAAGCGGAGAAAAAAGACCACTCAAAGGCATAGAGGCGTCTCATAGACGGGGCTCTAGCCTCTGAAATGGTGTTTAAGACTCGCTCTGGGAGGCTCGAAGGCTCCCATCGAGCGGCAAGAGGTGCAGGGCCCATAGGTCGGGCCGAGGATGCCATATTGTCCCATTCACTTGAGAGAAGAGATCCCGTCTCAACGGAACGGGCCAAGGGCCCGCTACCAACAGCTGAGTTAGCTCTGAAGGCTCCCATCGAGCGGCAAGAGGTGCAGGGCCCATAGGTCGGGCCGAGGATGCCATATTGTCCCATTCGCTTGAGAGAAGAGATCCCATCTCAACGGAACGGGCCAAGGGCCCGCTACCAACAGCTGAGTTAGCTCTGAAGGCTCCCATCGAGCGGCAAGAGGTGCAGGGCCCATAGGTCGGGCCGAGGATGCCATATTGTCCCATTCGCTTGAGAGAGCTGGTCTTTGAGAAATAAATTGGGCAGTGAGAGTTGTCTTCTGAGGCAAAGAGGTCTACCTCTGCCTCACCGAAGATCTCCCAGATCCTCTGAACCATCTGCAGATGGATCGTCCACTCCCCTGAGGGGACACTGCTCCTTGATAACATGTCTGCTCCTTGGTTCAATTTGCCCGGTATATACGCTGCTCTCAGCGAGCGCAGGTTAAGTTGAGCCCATTCCAGGAGGCTCTCTACCAGAGCGAAGAGATGCTTTGAGGAGAGGCCTCCCTGGCGATTTATGTAGGACACCACAGACATGTTGTCCGATCGGATTAGCACATGGTGCCCGAAGGTCGATATGCCCTCGCACAGCGCCCCCCAACCTGAGTTGGAGGCGTCTGTCGTGATAACTGTCCTTCTGCAAAACCATCCCCATGGTCACACCCTGTTCCATGCAGCGGGAGTTCTTCCAGGGGGCCAGGGCTGTTACACAGGCCTGACTCACCCTGATTTGCAGGCGTCCGTTACGCCACGCATGGGATGGAACCCGTGGTTTCAACCAGCGCTGAAGGGGGCGCATATAAAGCATACCCAACTGTAGCACTGGCGATGCCGCCGCCATGAGGCCCAGCATCCTCTGAAACGCTTTGAGAGGGCGAGTGGGACCAATCTCGAAGGAGGTTGCCAGCCTCCGTATGGCCAGAGCCTGTTCCGGCGCGACTACAGCTCTCATTTGGGCTGAGTCAAAAATTGTTTGCCAATTTGAAGCTGTCAGTGATAATAATCATTAGTGACAGCATTCTCTTTTAATCAGCCTAAAAAGATCAAACCGCTCGTTAGAAGAGGAGTTTTTGATGATCTTTCTGTGTAAACACTCTGGCAGATCAAAAATGCTGCACGCATTTTCTCAAATCCTCTCGTAGCGGACGAGGGGAGGGGCGGGGCCGACTTCATTGAAGACTCTCGTAGTAAGAGCAGTTTCATACCAGCGAGTTCGTCATTTCTACCTCCGAGTAACTGGGAGGAGAGAAACACAAGACCGGGGAAGACGGGGCTCAGCGACGCACACACAAATGCGAAGCAGCCAGCGTTTTGCTTTGATCTGCCTAGGAGGATTAAGCTTCTCATGTAACGAGGAGCGCTGATCCTCAAGTGTAACGCACACTGGCAGATTAAGCACGCATGATGTGTGTCAGCATTAAATTGCTCAAGCCTGATCGCTCAACCCGCGAGCTCGTCGTTGCTTCCTCA